TCAACTTCATATGGAAAAACAAAAAACCCAGGGTAGCTAAAAGAATCCTGTACAATAAAGGAACTTCTGGAGGCATTACCATCCCTAACTTCAAGCTCTGCTATAGAGCTATAGTAATAAAAAACAGCTTGGTATTGGCATAAAAACAGACACATGGATCAATGGAATAAAATCAAAGACCCTGACATCAATCCACATCCTTACAAATGCCTGATTTTCGACAAAGAAGCCAAAATTGTACAATGGAAAAAAGAAGGCATCTTCAACAAATGGTGCTGGCATAACAGGATGTGTACATGTAGAAGAATGCAAATAGACCCATATCTATTGCCACGCACAAAACTCAAGTCCAAGTGGATCAAAGACCTCAACATAAATCCATTTACACTGAACCTAATATAAAGGAAAGTGGGAAGTAACCTTGAAGGTATTGGAAAAGGAGACCACTTCTAGAATATAACACTAGTAGCACAGACACTGAGATCAACAATTAATAAATGGGACCTCCTGAAATTGAGAAGCTTCTGTAAGGCAAAGGACATGGTCAATAAGACAAAATGGTAACCTACAGAATGGGAAAAGAGCTTCACCAACCCCACTTCTGACAGAGGGCTGATCTTCAAATATATAAAGAACTCAAGAAACTAGACATCAAAATGCCAAATAATCCAATTTTTAAAAAATAGGGTACATATCTAAACAGAGAATTCTCAACAGAAGAACTGGATGGCTGAAATACACTTAAAGAATTGTTCAAAATCTTTAGTCATCAGGGAAATGTGAATCAAAATGACTGTGAGATTTCATCTTATACCTGCCAGAATGATTAGGATCAAAAACACTGATGACAGCTTATATTGGAGAAGATATGGAGTAAGGGAAACACTCCTCCATTGTTGGGGGTATAAACTTGTACAGTCACTTTGGAAATCTATATGATGGTTTCCCAGAAAATTGGGAATCAATCTACCTCAAGACTCAGCAATACCAATTTTGGACATATACCCAAGGAATGCTCAATCATACCATAAGGACACTTGCTCTACTATGTTCATAGAAGCATTATTTGTAATAGCCAGAACCTGTAAACAACCTAGATGACGCTCAACTGAAGAATAGATAAAGAAAATGTGGTACATTTACACAATGGAGTACTACTCAGCAGTAAAAAACAGACATCATGAAATTTGCAGGCAAATGAATAGAACTAGAAAAAAATCATCCTGAGTGAGGTAATCCAGAAAGACAAACATGGTATGTATTCACTCATAAGTGGATACTGGATGTAAAGCAAAGGATAATCAGGTTACAATCCACGGCCCTAGAGAAACTAGGTAACAAGGAGGACCCTAAGAGGGACATATGGATCACCCTGGGAAAGGGAAATAGAGATCTCCTGGGTAAACTGGGGGCAGGGGTGGGTAGGTGAGTAGAGGGGAGGGGATGGGAGTTGGGAACATGAGAGATTGGGAAGGTCAAGTTGTGGGAAAGAGACAAAGGAAAGCAACAAAAGATATCTTGACAGAGGGGGCCATTATGGGGCTAGGGAGAAACCTGGTGCCAGGGAAGCTCCCAGGAATCCACAAGGATGACCCCAGCTAAGACTCCTAACAATAGTGAAGAGGGGGCCTAAAATGGCCTTCTCCCGTAATGAGAGTGGTGACTACCCTATTGTCATTCTAGAACCTTCATCCAGTAACTGATGGAAACAGATGCAGAGATGTACAGCCAAGCACTGGGCTGAGCTCTGAGAATTCAGTTGAAGAAAGGGAGGAGAAATTATATAATCAGGGGGTGGGATGGTCAAGATCATGACAGAGAAACCCACAGAGACAGCTGACCTGGGTCATGGGAGCTCATGGACTCTAGACTGACAGCTAGGGAGCCTGCATGGGACCGACCTAGGCCCTCTGCATGTGGGTAACAGTTGTGCAGCTTGGTCTGTTTGTGGGGCCCCTAGCAGTGGGACCAGGATCTGCCACTGGTGCATGAACTGGCTTTTTGGAACCTACTCCCTATGATAGGATGCCTCACTCAGCCTTGATGCAGGAGCTTGGTCCTGCCTCAACTTGATATGCCATGTTTTGTTGACTCCCATGAGAGGCCTTACACTTTCTGGAGAGTGGATGGGGGGTAGAAAGGAGGTAGGGGGAGGGAACAAGAGGAGAGGAGGGAGAGGAAACTGTGGTTGGTATGTAAGAAGAATAATATAAGTAAATTTTTAAAAAAAGAGGCAATTATTACATCTCTATCACAAATCTGAATTTTGATAAAGCACATTGTTTTCCAGACATGTGGTACCCACTTATGATTGCCAAACTCAAAAGCTGAGTCTGGAGAATCAGGAGTTTGAGGATAACCTGGACTACATAATGTAATGATCAAAATATAAAAGGTATTACATTAAATGATTCAAGAAAAGGTGGCCAGTCATGAACTCAACATGCTTATGCTTAGGGAGGGAAAAAAATGAATCTACTATCACAGATTGAGTTTGGCTTACAAATTATTTCATTGTCTTCAAATGAAAGAAAATAGCACTTGTACTTGTACACTGTCCTACAAGGCAGAAAATATCTAAATAGAATTTTCTGTTACAAAGAGCAACCATTTACATTTCTACAAAATTGTGAGATTGCCATTCAAAAGATTTTTATTACTTATTTTTTTGTTTGAATAGTAAATAAGAAAATAAGAGAAGCACTTAATATGATGTTTGTCAAAAAGAGGCCATCTCATTAAATGTAGGCTCATAGCAGAGAGATGGCTAATGAGAATGGTATTTAGGCTGCAGGTCTGGGAATCACCTTTTCTGAAAATACTTCTTGTCCTCAGAGACCAAATTTTGCCAGACCTTGCAACCAAGTTAATAACATGCCTGAAGACCATTTAACACCATATAGTCACTCTGTTTCCCTACTGTGTATTCATCCAGTTTAAGTTGAACTTGCCTTTAAGAAGGCAACGTAACCAACCTAACCATGTCTGGACTTCAGATGTACTTCGCTTTTACAACCTAAGCTAAATGCAGAGCTTTAATCTTAAACTACCTATTCTTCCATATTCCCGACCCAGAAGAGTATATGTGTGTGTGTATGTGTGTGTGTGTGTGTGTGTGTGTGTGTGTGTGTGTGTGTGTATGTATGTCTGTTATGGTGATAATTTGCTAAAAGCAGACAATAAATTGAAAGTAACTTTAAAGAAAACAAGAATCCAGCATAAATGTTAGAATCATCAAGTGGGTAGGTTGATGACATCTGCCTGCAGTTCTGAGTGTTATTTGGTGTCAGTAAAGTAACATCTTCTCTTGTAAAGCTCTATTAAAATTTTCAGTGTAAAAGAATTCTTCATTCTTGTGGGAGTCCAGCTCCCATCCTTCAAATGGTTCTTCAAAAGGGTAGGAGAGAGGGATTATGAAGTATTAGACAGAAAGATAGAAAGAGACAATAAGAAAGAGAGATACAGGATAGCTTTGGGAGGGCCCTGGGTCAATACCCAGTCACCTTGAGGTTTATTCCAGAGGGCTTTTTGGATAATACCAAGGGGCAAAGCAAAAGACCTCCCCCTTTCAAGATCAAAGCACAATGTACAGCCAAGTGTAGATCTTTCAAAACACCTGGTAAACACACCTGTAGCCACATCATCCCATTATGCAGCTCTCCTGGGTAAAGCAAGCTCAGATTCTCTAACTTGGAGTAATTTGGGCCCCCACAATTCTTTTCCAATACCATATTTTTCTGTGCTATTCAATGAATACAGAGCAAAGCCCTTTGTAAGGACAGACAGACATCAGACCACAAATAACAAGACAGAAGACACAGGGTGAGAGGGGGAGAATTCAAATGTCTCTGGTAGGAATTCTAACCACAACCCCATGCCCGCGCATGCCCTGGCAAGACACCTAATCATTTCCGGGGCCGTAAGTTATTTTCTAGTAATTTTCTAATTTTCATGCAGCATGATCACGTAAGCTATGCTCATGCATGGCGTAGCCACATGGGCTCATATGTGCATGTGCATGGGTAGTTTATAAAAGGCAGATCCCATGTACCCTCCCCGTCTTGGCACATATCTTTCAAACAGGCCTGATCACATTCTTTTCTGTCCCTCCCTCCTCCTAATAAAACTCTCATAGTGGGTTTTGTTGTGCCCTATGACTTTTCCTTGCAGGGTAAAAGCACCACATAAAACCAACAGTCTCATTCTTAGTTGTGGTGGTTTGAATAAGAATGGCCCCAATAGGCTCATGTATTTGAATGCTTAGTCACCAGGGAGTGGAACTCTTTGATAAGATTATTAACGGTTAGGCGATGTGGCCTTGTTGGAGTAGGTTTGACCTTGTTAGAGGAAGTATATCACTAGGGGTGGGCGTTGAGGTTTTAAAAGCCTATGCTAGCTAGACCCGTTTCTCTCTGTGTGTCTCTGTCTCTCTCTGCTTCAAATCAGAATAGAGCCCTCAACTACTTCTCCATGTGTGCCGCCATGCTCCCCACCATGATGATAACCTCTGACACTGTAAGCAAGCCCCCAATTAAATGCTTTCTTTTATAAGAGTTGCCTTGGTCATGGAGTCTCTTCACAGCAATGGTACAGTGACTAAGACATTGGTTTATAATGCTCCAAGAGGAAGACTTTTTTTTTTAATTCTTTAATGCAACATTGACACATAAAGAATAAGTTTAAAGAATAAGGTGTTTTTTTTTAAGATATCTGTAAGAAAGACAACAATATTGATTTGAGATCCATCTATTTCCTCTCCACTCTTAAACCTAGTGACTGTTTGAATGAATGTTTCTTTATAGTATTTAATGGGTTTCAAAACACATTCTTCTAAGGTTAAATTACAACTACTTAATTTAAACGGCATTTTCAGTGAATCCTTTTATAAATCATGTGTTACTTACAGTAAGTACTTGTCCAACAGAGTATTCATTTGAGAGGACCAAGGAGGTCCCATACCAGAACGCCAGTGCATACGATGCATACACCAGTAGATAGGCAATACCTATGGAAATGTTGGCCGTGATCGCTTTCTTTATTCCAACATTTTTAGCTTCTTCTAAATTTTTATCGTACCTGGAAGAAAAACCAGAAATCATTACATGTCCTCATAAGCATGGAGGAAGTATGCTAATGTAACGAGGCAGTGAGTTGAATAGTTGGAACGCACCAGCCCTGCAGTGCATGTGTTTCCTTCTTTTCTCCATACATTGCCCCTAAGATGTACTATTATTTTATTCCTTCACTGAACAGTACACTGAGGCTTAAACCTTTTCAGGCCTTAGTAATTATAGGGCACTGGTCTCCTCCCACATTGAGTAAAGCCATTGCCTGCTTGCCAACCTTGACCAGATGTCCTCCCTATGCTAATTCCCTGCCGGGTTTCACCCTCCTGAATGCTTAAGGGAAGTTCCTTGTTTGTGTATCCTGCATATTGGGCATTAACAGCTTAGATGCAAGAATGTACAATGTTCTGTAGCGAACTTCTGCCCTCTGGGGTTCCCCCATTGTGCTGTAAGCCTGTATTTAAGGTTTCCTCCTTCTTTCAACAAACAGCATTCGGCATTTGACTGAGGCGAGTGACCCGCTGTCTTTGTCTCTGATTTTCAATCCATCCCTTGCTCGGACATGGTGAACGGGTGGTGTTAGCCCGGGCGATATTGCTACAAATGGAGGTCCCACCGAGATCCGAGAAAGAAGGGACATCTCTGATGGACACCCAAAAGGTAAGGCTGGCCAGCAATTTAAAGAAAAAAGAAAAAATAAGGGTGAATTGAAGCGGGTGCAGCTAGCTCACAGTCAGTTAACTGGACTGCAGAGCACTGAAGTTAACATAGGGCAAGACAGCTAAAGACTTTAAATAAAAAAGGAAATCTTCCCAATAGAGAAGAGGGAAGGAAAGGAAATTTCCCGTTAGAAAAGGGAGAAATTTTTAATCAAGAAAAAAGGATTTTCCTAGTAAAAAGGGGAAAAATTTTGAATCTAGGCCTAAAGATTTTTAGGGCCCTATAGAGGAAGGATGAAGGAAAGAGAAAAGTCTCTTCCCAGTGGTAATGGAAGAAGAAAAGTCTCTTTCCAATTTAAAAATTTTCAGGATAGCTGAAACTCTGAGCTCTTTCTACCTGCCAGTGCAGAGCGGCAGCATCTGAATTACAAAGAGTCGTAGAAGTTTTGTTGTCTGTCTGCTTAATTTTGGTTTAAATGTTCATTTTTCCCTCAGAGTGGGAATAATTTAATATTTAGGATCCTTTCATGGGAATGTTTTTCTGTTTTTCCTTTATGGTGGGAATAACTCATTATTAAGTAGTCCCTTCATGGGAGTAAGAGAAAGTTTAAACGTGAGTTTGTGTGTGCGGGCACGCACCCAGCACGGTGGTGAAGGCATGCGAGGCAACCCAGAGCAGCAGGTGGGCAGGTATACGCAGGCAGGAGGCATAGCTGTGAGGCTGATGAAGGGAACAGACTCATGGGTAGGCAAGCGAGCAGAGGCCAGGAGAGAGACTAGCACAACAAGTTTAAACGGGCCCAACTTCTGGTGAAAATGGTTTTGGTCAGGACATGGAATGCTAAGTTTGAATTTCCAGGGATATTAATCAGTCATTGTATAAAGGATTTTCTGTTCTTTTGATTGTCTTAATAAATGTTTGGATTTTCATGGTAGATAAATTAAAGGAACAGAATTCTATTTTGAACTAAATATTAGGTGTGCTCTTGTCTGTTGATCATTACTGAAAATTTGGCTCTGCTCTTTAAGTTACTTTCTAGAATTCTAGAAATATAACACCTGAAATGGATTGGGTTATTAGCTTATTAAATAATGTTGTTGCTAAGATGAACCCATAAAAAAATCTCTTACTGATAAAGAGGCTACAAAATTATTTTTCCATTAAATAAAATACAGGTAAATTGTTTGATCCACATTGTTAATAATTGGCTATGTGCTAATGTTACTTGAAGATTTTATAAAAATACTCCAGAGTATTGTCAAAAGTTACCTCTTCAAATCCTATAGAGATTGTATAATTGGCATATGTAAAAAAGGCCATGGAAATAGAAGCTGGTGTAGTACCTACTTTTCAGGAGTGGCTCTGTGCAACATTTATTGGCCTCCTGAAATTCATCTAGCCTCCTTTGAAGATACCTTTAAAATTTGTGAGCCTGAATGTAGCCATTATTGAGACTATTAGTTCTGCTCCTTGTATGCTGTCTATTTTTTCTTTATGGTTCTTAGTTGTTCTTTTGCAGAGCTACCAGCTTAAGTCATGCTGGGATCAAGAAAAATGGGCCTTGGTAGTTCGTGTTCCTGGAGCTGTGTCTTTGCCAGTGGACCGTGGCAGTTAGACACAGATGATGCTCACACACTCCAGAAGAGAATCTGACATCGCTGTTGCCATTGTTGCTGTTATAGCGGTGGTGGCCACTGCTGCTACTCTTTCTGGGATTGCTATTTCTTAATTGCTTACTACAGCTAGCACAGTGGAGACCCTGGCAGCAAAAGTAGCTTCCACTGTTAGTTAATCTTTCATTCTATTAGGCAGGATAATTTTTTTCTTTTTTTTTTTTGTTTTTGTTTTTTTATTTTTTAAATTACACTCATGATATTCATTAATTACACTCATGATATCAATCACATTTGTGGTATTCATAGATTACATTCACAGGGCATGATAAATTTAATTCAGTAGTTATATACATTTTAATTGGCTTTGAAATTTATAAAACTCAAGTTCCATTTGCTTTTGGGATACCATCTTATGAGGACTCCAATTTGCAGTAAGGCTTGAAGGAACGGAATGGCTCAATTGCCTTTAGCCTCCTGGCTTTGGATGGGTTAGGACTTCTGTTGCTCTTTTCTGTGTCGCACAGATTGAAAGCCCAGCGCCACTTTGAGATCTTTGGCAACAGTTTACTCTACAGCTCACATGGTTGAGCCTGTATGATAATGAGTATTCAGAGACGCGTAATGCTTGCGGGGTGCTCACCAACCTAAGACAGAGCATTTGTGTGGCCTGGGCAGGTGACTCCATGACAGGTAAGGTGACCTGCTGACATCCCACGCAACCTAAGTCAGAAGCTCATTTTTTAGTAAAAAGGGGGGGACCTGTAGGGCCCTGGCCTTCCCATTTTGAGTAAGCCATTGCCTGCTTGCCGACTTTGACCAGATGTCCTCCCTATGCTAGTTCCCTGGCGGGTTCCACCCTCCTGAATGCTTAAGGGAAGTTCCTTGTTTGTGTATCCTGCATATTGGGCATTAACAGCTTAAATGCAAGAATGTATAATGTTCTGTAGCGAACTTCTGCCCTCTGGGGTTCCCCCATTGTGCTGTAAGCCTGTATTTAAGGTTTCCTCCTCCCTCTTTCAATAAACAACATTCAGCATTCGGCATTCTGCTGAGGTGAGTGACCCACTGTCTTTGTCTCTGTTTTTTGATCCACAGCCCCTCACTTGGACATGGTGAACGGGTGGTGGTAGCACGGCGTTATCGCTACAAGTAATTGTGAAGTAATAAAAAATATCAAAAGCACATATTATTACACACACACACAGGGAAAACAGCTGGTCACACAGCTCTGCCTGTAACCCTAGCACGAAGGAAACTGAAGCAGGAGGACCGCAAGTTCAAGGCCAGCCTGTCCTGCTCGGGACGGAGGATGGGAGAAGGAGAGAGTAAGGGTAATGATGAGGAGGAGGCCGGAGGAGAAGGAAGATAAAAAGGTGGAAGAATGAAGAATTTAGAAAACGAGAAGAAAGAAGGGAATGAAGAACAAAGGAGGAGGAGGAAGAGGAAGGAGGAGGAGCACAGAGTTAAGGAACTGGGGATAGAATGATAGAATCGCAACATCAAAAAGCTATTCTAAGCTCCGGACCTGATGAAAGCTTTAAAGACAGTTTGCTCACTTGGGGGTACAGGAAGACTGAGAGCTCCAGACCAGCCAGGGCCACACAGCAAAGGGCTCTCTCTTAGAAACAAACAAGCCACACACGTTATCTTATTTCTATAGACGTGAATTTTAAAATCACTGATCTACAAAAATTAATTTGGCTTATGACCATATAGTAGGAACAGGCCAGTGAAGCTGCAGGCACCAAATGACACCACGTGACAGTTGGGGCACAGACTGGCCCGGAGGTGAGGTGACGAAGAGCCACAGGCTCCGAGGGAAGGAACCTGGATCAGGCTTACATCTCACGGAAGAGCAGAGCTATGGAGCTGCACTCTGCCAGCATGCCAGGGACACACAAGCTTAACTAAGCTACCATGCCTACTCATTCTCTTTCCTACCGGAGCAAACTGATAGAAAGGGCACCCCTGGGAGTGACCAGATTCACAACACCTCAATTAAAAATGTTGAGTCAACTCTCACCAAAGAAAGGTGATTCAGAAAAAAAAAAAAACAAAAAAAAAAAACTTCTGCTAACAAAGTAACTCCAGATGGACAAGTCAGAACACAAAACCAAAAACTGGATGAAAATCCAAGACAGCACACACCCTCCAAAAATTACCAATCTCATGGGAAGGGATGGCACTGACAGGGACTGATCTCAAATTCCAAACAAATAATTAAAAAATAGGACATAATCACATTCACAGACTTTAAAGAGAACATGAACACACTTGTGGAAGTCAATTCAAGATATGGAAATAGGATTCAATAATGACAGAAATACTGAAGAAAAACCAAACCAAAATGATGCTCAAAACACAAAACTCAGTAAGTCAAATCCAAAGGCAAGTGGCAAGTCTTACCAAGAGACTGGCTAATGCAGAGGATGGTCTAGCAGGACGCGAATCAAGGTAAAGTAATCATGTCATCCAGTTTCAAAGACATTGATGATTTTTTTAACTTTTTTTTTATTTTTTGAAAACATGGTAGAACACATAAAAGTCAGGACCAGAAAAGAAACTCCCCATGTCAAGTTACAGTTAAAATACAGAAAGGATGAAAAAAAAAAAAAAAAAGGGAAGTGAAAGCTGCAGGGGAAAAAAGCCAATCATATACAAAGACAGGCTAATCAGAATTACAGCTGATTTTCCCATAGAAATCTTTAAAACCAGAAGGGTTTGGAGTGATGTTGTTCAAATTCGGAAAGAACACTGCTAATAACCAAGACTATTATACTCAGAAAAACTACCTATCATCATTGAAAGAGAAACAAAATTTTCCAGAACAAAACAGTCTAAACACAAGACCAGCAAATTTGAAACTGCTGGAGAAATAAAGGGCATATACTTGAACATATGAGCCTAATTAAGGACTCTCAGAATAGGACTCACTCAGGAAGTAAATCCAACAATCAAAAATCAGCACTCCACGAAAGTCAAATGTTTCTGCATACAGAAGGAAACACGTTTGAAAGACATATAGAAGAAAAAAACTGTTAAAAACTTAATGAAACTATTCTGATTACTGAATTAAATACATTCACAATTGCGCTTAAATTTCCATTCCAAATGAGCTGGTTTCCTCCTACATGGATATTTTGAAGGGATAGACTGCTTTAGAAGTAGACGCTTTGTGATATCATATCCCACGACACACTGAAGCTTTTGCCATGTTGGGAGACTTACATGACTTGTTATCCCAGACCCCATCCCTACCCTCACTACAGGAGACTTACTCTCATCTCTCAGGTCTCATGCTAATTGAAATCTCCTCTAAGAGACATTCCTTGACCATATTTAAATGTACCCTCCTCATAATCCTCAGTACATTTCTTTTATCAAAGCATATTTTCAATGACTATGTTTGTGTGTGGAGGGGGTAGCTAGAGTTTTTCTGGTCCTGCCTGGCCAACAGTCAGGACAAATCTCTCTCCCACCAGTCCTGTAGCTTCTCAGACCCAACCGAGTAAAGACACAGAGACTTATATTGCTTACAAACTGTATGGCCACAGCAGGCTTCTTGTTATCCAGTTCTTCTATCTTAAATTAACCCATTTCTATAAATCTATACCTTGCCACGTGGCTCGTGGCTTACAGGCATCTTCACATGTTGCTTGTCATGGCGGCAGCTGGCAGTGTCTCTCTAACTCAGCCTTCTACTTCCCAGAATTCTTCTCCTCCTTGTCCTGCCTATACTTCCTCCTGCCTGGCTACTGGCCAATCAGTGATTTCTTTATTAACCAATCAGAGCAACACATTTGACATACAGAATATCCCACAGCAAGGGAGGCTATTAGTTAGGGTTTCTGTTGCTGTGAAGAGACACCATGACCACAGCAACTCTTATAAAGGAAAAACATTTAATTGGGTAGCTTACAGTTCAGAGGTTTAGTCCATTATCATCCTGCAGGAAACATGTGGCATACAGGCAGACATGGTGCTGGAAAAGGAGCTGAGAATTCTACAACTTTGATCAGCAGGCAATAGGAAGTGAACTGAGACACTGGCTTGGGCATATATGAGATCTCAAAGCCCACCTCCACAGTGACACACTTCCTCCAACAAGGCCCCACCTCCTAATAGTGTCACTCCCTTTGGGAGCCATTTTCCTTCAAACCACCACGGAGTATGTATGTGCATATGAGCAAAGATGTCCCTGGAAGCCCAAAAAGGGCATCAGGTCCCCTGGGGCTGGAGTTAAAGGTGGTTGAGCCCCATAGAAACTGAGGTCCTCCATAAGAGCAGTATGCCCTCTTAACAACTAAGAGATCTCTTCAGCCCTATCAAAGCACATTATGTCTCTCTAAAAAAATATTTCTGTAACTCTCATAGAGTCTTTTATCCCTCAAACTGGTGTCTGTGTACCAGATACTCCCTTACTTATAGTTTCTGTACCATCCCTTTCTTCTACAAGAATGAAAACATAGGCTTTCAAACATATTTCAAAAAGCAAACAGAACATATATATCCCTTTTTCTGAAGGCATATATTAGGAAAGCATAATTAGAATTGCAACTTTGTAGAATATTAGCAATGACACTGAATTTTAAATTTCTAGCAAAAGAAACTCAAACCTCTCAAGTTCTTTCTTTTGTCCTCCAAATGCAATCACAGTTCTGATGGCCACTAAGACTTCTTCAGCAACTGCTCCAGCTTTTGCATAAGCCTGGAGTTCCTTATTAGTAAATGAAGTCAATACCTGTCAAAGTGCAATCTTGTATCATTAAAAATGCTCAACAAATCTATCTTTTGCAGAGTATAAAAAAAATAAATATATATAAAAATGTTGCTTATACAGAAATCGTACAAAGAGCATGATCTTTAAATGTCAGGTATCTTTAGGGAGGGAAAAAGTATAATGGCTTCCCTACCAGTGCCCTCTAGCTGACACAATGTATGGGCAAGGAAGAGAACCCTGGACACAAAGGGACTTCTGGGTCAGGTGCCTGATGTGCCTGAGACCCTTCTGCTCTTCCTTCGTGCCTGGGTTAAGGAGACAGCCTCAAGTCCACAGCAGGAAACAGCTTCTCAAACTACTAGTGCACCTATGTTTGCATAGAGCCCACAATCTGAGAGTCTAAGACATGTGAGGAGCAGGGTGTAAAACAAAGGGCCCGGGAACCGAAGTGATGTGTAGACCTCTTGGGTTAAGTTGCTTTCTCTTTCCCTTATCTATCCACAAGGTATTCTAAAACATTTTAAATAATTTTTATCGTTCTAACACGAGGAGTTTGAACCTAACTGTTCAATGTTCTGCTGAACAGGAAAATCAATTAAGCTTTGAGGCTGGCAGAGGCTGGCACGATAGCTTGTTGGGTAAGAGAACAACTCCAGCCGATGACCTGAGGCCGCTCCCTGGAGAGTGACAGCAAGTCTTCCAAACGCTGGAGGGCGGTGCAGACAAGGGAGGACAGCCGTACACAGCTGACACTTCACAGTGAACACGCCACAGTGAACACGGCGCCGTCCTCTACCGAGCACAGATCTTCCCGGTTCAGCATGTCTTTTCGATGAAGGTGGGGAACATACAAGGTCCCCTTCCTTCTTACCCTTCCCCAAATGAGAGCTCAGTGGGTCTGGATCAGCTTATCTTGCCCCTTGTTAAACGGAAGCTTAAAGCAAGTACCAAACTCACAATCAGGGCTGCCGTGGTTGAAGACCCTCCCGTGGGATTCTGGGGAGGACTCTGAAATGTGGATTCACCTACCTTGGCCCACATAGTAGACGACAATCCAATAAGAGGGGTGACAGCCAAAATGACAAGGGTTAGCTTCCAACCACTTATAAATGCTACTATAAATCCAGCTAGAAATGTGGTGATGGACTGAAAACACATCCCAATTTTGTCACCAATCCCATCATTGATTTTGGAGACATCGCTGAAGAGGAAAGAGATTGTGTTACAAATAATGTCAGATTTGCAAACACAGAAATTAGCCAGTTTTATATTGTATCACTGATTCTGATGTAAATTAATATGTCTGCAACCTTTGTGTGTGTGTGTGTGTGTGTGTGTGTGTGTGTGTGTGTATTTCACTTGACAAGCTATCTGTTTCCACTAGATTTTTTCATTAACAGCTTCCTATGGCCAGCATGGCCTCCGAATACAGACAATGGATGTTTAAGACAATTCACTGTGAAATTTCAAACTGCTCAGAGATGTGCGCATATGGCGCTGTTCTCTATGATCATAAATCTTGCGTTCTTCGTGTCTTCTGTGAAGCAGAAACAGACAGACAGGAGCTCCTTCCTTCTTTCCGGTGTTTTCCAAGGACACCAACGAGCCCTGGCAGGATGGCAGTCAGAGGCTGGATGGACAGGACACCAAGGAGCCCTGGCAGGATGGCAGACAGAGGCTGGATGGACAGGCCATATTGTTGCTCACTGCACATCACGGCTGTGCTCACTCTCTGTGTATTTCTTGACTCTGCCAGTCAAGAAGGAGCTCCACCCCCATTCCTGCCAGGGCACTGTGAACAAGAAGCCGTGTAAGACACGGGTACTGCTCACAAGGGCGCTACTCTGCTCAGGGATGCACCGACATTCCTAATGAGGCTGGTGGCATCTACTCCACTGAACTAAGAACAAGACCATATCTGACTTCAGCTGAAACTAGGTACTCACTCTGTGAGCCGGGTGTTGAGCTCCCCAACGTCGTGCACGTCAAACCAGCCTATCTCCTGATTCATTATAGCATGAAAAAACTTCTGTCTGATTTTGTGTATTTGTCTTCCAGCTGCCATGCACCAAAATGAAACCTGGATGTAGGCAACTATGAGCACGCCAGCACCAATGCCCGTGTAATAGTAGGCGTACCTGAAAAACAAGAACACTGTACATGCTGTTTTCTAATCAATCCTGCTCTCTGAAAACAACTGAGTCTTACTCCTTCAGCTATCTGGGTATCCCACCATCCTTAACAAACAAGAAGGGGTTGTGAGGGGCAGAGCTGTAACTGTCAGCATCCGCCTGTGTCTGTGGCAATATAGAATGGCTTTGGGGCAAATCCCAGCTCTTCACTGAATTATCTTGTAAACTCAAGCAGGATGCATAACATCTTAGGCCCCAATTTTCTAGCTAGTAAAATGGAGGTGAGAATCGTTATACTGGCAGTCTGTTGAGAAATGGCCTTGTAGTCCTAATTCTATTACACCAGCACCAATTAATGAGTCTCTGCTTGTCAAGGGACATATCACAGAATCTGTCTGAAAGTGGAAACCAGGGATAGAAGTGTTGGAAAATATTATTTTAAGGTGTGTTACCTTTTTTTTTGTTTATGTTGCTTTTGTCTAACTCTGTGAAGCTGTGTTACTTTGCCTCTGTAAAACACCTGATGGTCTGATAAAGAACTGACCGACCAACAGCAAGGCAGGAGCAAGGATAGGCAGGGCTGGCAGGCAGGGAGAATACATAGAAGGAGAAAACTGGGAGGAGAGACTTAGGAGGCAGAGAAGGAGGAGGACTCCAGGGGCCAACCACCCAGCCACCCAGCTACACAGCAAGCCACAGAGTAAGAGTAAGGCTTACAGAAGTAAGAGAAAGACAAAAGCCCAGAGGCAAAAGGTAGATGGGACAATTTAAGGTAAGGAAAGCTGGAAAGAAGCAAGACAAACTAAGGCTGGGCATTTGTATTTAAGACTAAGCCTCCATGTGTGATTTGTTTGGGAGCTGGGTGGCGGGTCCCCCAGAAGAGTAAAAGGGCAAAAACAACAGCACAGAAGTGATTCCTGTCCCTGTGAACTACTGACAGACCTCAGCTGGTAAGTGACAGCTGAAAATTAACAGTATTTGTATCTGCCCAATTGGTCATTTTTGAACAACCATGAAATGTTTAAGGAATCAAGGAGCACGAAACTCTTCAAATTAAACTAAGAAAAAGGTGAACTGATGTTCCCTTATTCCGAGTCTCCGCATTCACAAAAGCAAACCTTAGGCTTCTTCAATCAGTTAATATTTAGATCAAAGGCAAAGCTTCCAGCGTGAAATACAGGGGACAGCTTTCCCCATCTTCAAAAGGAGGAGTTCTGCTTGTTATCTTCTGGAAACTGCAGTGTGTCATGGGAAGCATCAAAATGGTTATTTAAAAGGAAGAGAGTCTCTGGTGTGATGTTCACAGCTCTGGGCTCAACCTACCAGGATCCTGCTAACATATCACACCCCGTTACATCATATAACTTGCAAAAAGATATAGTGCAACTAGAATGCTTCTCATTAATAGGTGACTCTATAATTGTTTTTCATGTGCTAATGATATAGCAAGAGTAACCCCATTTAACAAGTGTAACTTATGGTTAGGGAACAACCTGTAAGATGTTTAGTTTTATTTATTTGTTCACTTATTTCTGTTTTTTAGCTATTTAAAAACAAAACAAAAACAAAAAAAAACAGGGTCTTGCTATGTAGCCCAGGCTGGCCTGAGTCTCACAAGCCTCCTGCCAGTGTCTTCATAATGCTAAGACGCATCACCATTCCTAGCCTTGGTAATGTATTTTAAACAATCAAGATGTTGCTGTTAACTGGGCATTGTTGCTTAAACCTGTAATCCCAGCACTTGGAAGCCTGAGGCAGAAGGGCTGACACAAGCTTGAGGGCAGCCTGGGCTACATCAAGAGGTCAGACCCATCTCAAATAAAGAAGAAAGAAAAAGAGGGACTTGTTGTCACAATAGAAAAATAATGCCTCTCTACAATAGCATTTAGAGTGCTGGCATCTTATCGTTCAAATATGATCAGGTGTCTCCACTTCCTTTAAACATGTCAAACCATTCATAGAATAATGTAGAATCATGTTATCTGAATATTCTCATGGATCCTTGCACATTTGTTCAAAGATATTCTCAGAACAAATTTCAAAACATGTAATAATTTACAAAATATTTTCCCAAAGTAAGCTAAGGTAAAAATCAAACTTTTATTTATTCTAGGATTTTTTTTTTTGCTTTTGGTTTTTTGGAGTTTTTTGTTTGTTTGTTTTTCAAGATAGGGTCTCTCTGTGTAACAGCTCTGGCTGTCCTGGAACTCGATTTGTAGACCAGGATGGCCTTGATCTTACAGAGATCCACCTGCTTCTAGAGTGCTGGGATTAAAGGCATGTGATACCACCACCCAGTTATTCTAGGATGTTTTATTTCATTATTTATAATTAGATGCTGAGTTTAAAATTTCCTTGCTAGCCAGTATTATTATAATTATTACTAGGGATACTGTGCAAGAAGCACACTAATAATTACAAAGCTACAGGCAATGATTATTAATTCAACTTCAAATCATATTATATAATTTGAGAAGTTTTATAGCTCATTATAACCAGATTAATGCAGAAAAGATTAATGAAAGAACAAAGCAGGTGTGGAATTACGTGGCCATGTCTTCCTCCAGATTGCCGCGGCTGCTGGCCTGAGTACCGCTGGTTTCACCTAGACAACCAGAAAGCAGAGCTGGCCCATTTATGGCTCTTTGGACTCCAGTAAAAATAAGCATATAAAATAAACCAAACCCATTTCACTTGAAAATCTACACAAAACCCGAACCAAGTGATTCAGTTAAATTGAATTTAGTTTCCATCCAAGCGGTAAAGACATCCATTCAAACACTTCTCTGTTGCCATGCACAGCTACACAAAGCCTAGATGAAATGACGGTCATTTTCAAGAAGAAACCCACCACGACAAATAAATACCAATGCAACTCACACTTGAGCCCATATTTAAACACTATCCCTGCATTTCTCTACTTTTATTGTTATTACAAAATTATCATGAAGAACAGAACATTATGCAATATTAGGAAGAGCTAACTGTCTGAACCAAATACATTAGAAACCCCAAAACTTTAACCATTCACATAGACACCGATAACTACTATTCAACATTTTTGTGTATATGTTGTCAAATTCACATGCAAAACTTTAAAAAAAAATGTGAATCTTGGTCTACATTCAGTATCAGTTTTTCTTGACAGTGTATGCTTGTATCAATTCTAAATTTGTATTCATTTTGGTTGCTTTCTAATATCATACTGTTATTGGAAACATTGCTCAGTGAGTGTATTTACCTAGCAAACACTATGCTCTAGGTTTGATAAACAGACAGATAACACTGCATGAGCATACATGTACACATGTGTGAAAATATGGTAAATATGGTATAGGAAAAATTACCATAATCAAGACTGCTAGGTCAACAAAAGGCACACTTCAAATCTTGCAGTCATTGTAAAATATACGATTATAGTATGTGTGGAAGTCAAGCAGAGGGGAGGGAAAGGAAGAAAAAGGATGAGTTTAAAATTTCCTGGCTAGCCTCACAATAAAATAGTAAGGCCAAGTCTATGCTAAGAGCAGGCAGGGTATCAGAAGAGCTCACAAGGAGACTGTGGCAGCGGCAATCAAGGATGGACCCACTTAAGTCTTTACACGGCTTTCTGGCTATAGCCATGTTTTGTGTAAAGGCCTCTAGAACCTGGGCCTCCTTGAGCACTTAGTAAACAAGGAAGCTCTGTAGTCTAGGCCATCACACTCACAAAATGGCTATAGTTCTAAATCAGGATATACAATGCATTCTTCAGAAACACAAAGTGGACCCCAGGACCCATGAACAAATCAGCAAAGGGTCCAACATACTGCAAATTGGTTTGAATATTGATGCATATTTTTTGGGAAATGATTCAGTGTTTATCATAGACTTAATTCAAATATCTGGCTAGGAAGATAAGCCCAGTGGGAGAGCACTTGCCTAGTTTCTGTGAGGCTGTAAGTTTAATTCTCAGCACCTCAAAAATAAGTTCAAATGATGTATAAAGCCAAGGTTTTGGTCTCCAATATCAAATTTTAAAAGTCCAGAGATGAGGCAATGGCCCGGGGGACAGTAGTGTTAACTGTTCTTACAGAGGACCCAGTGTCAGTTCCCAGAGCCCACACTGTGCAGTTCCCAGCCTCCCGCAACTCTAGCTCCACATGTCCACCTGAATATCATCTCCCACAATAATTAAAATGAATAAAATAGAAGGGTCCTTGTAAGCTAAGAGTATCATTGAGTTATCAAAGGTATTCTCATATAGGCATTGCCAACTTTATTTTTTTGTTGTTGTTGTTTTTCTTTTTGAGATTATAGTATAATTACATCATATCCCTCCTTCTCTTTCCTTCACACCCTTCCAAATTCTACTTGCTGTCTTTCAAATTCCTGGCCTCTTTTTTCATTAATTGTTCACACACACACACACACACACACACACACACACACACACACACACACACCTAAATATATAACTATAACCAGCCAGCATGTTTGCTGAGTACAAACTGAACTGTAAGTCTTCCTATAGTTTACTTTAACTCAATCTCTGCATGACCAACAGTGACCGGAAAACTGAAGCTCTGACCTAGCAACCTGTGTCCCCCAAGTCAAGGGTGTTTGTGTTAGAAGGAGGCAAAGTACTTCAATAGCTCACTCATTTCTTCCCTCCCCGGGGTGCTTTTTTACATCTCTCCTTATCAACCAGTTTCTTGCTTCCAATCTTACTGAGAAAATTAAGCCCTAACAGTCCCCTATTTATGCAATGTTAGACTTTCTGAGGTTTCAGTTTCCTGCAGTGAACCATGAAATTATATCATCTGACATCATCATACAGAGGATGAGGAGAACACAATTAAGACGTTAGAAAATATGAACAAACACTGAAAATAACTTTTAACCCAGTATATTGTTGTATTTGTTGTTTTTACCAGTTATTGTCATTAATCTCTTATCATGCCTAATTTATAAATTAAACTTTACATTGGTATGCATGTATTAGAAATACACTGTAAATATACGCAGAGTTCAGTATTCTCTATGGTTTCAGGCATCCACAGGACAGTCTTGAAACATGTCCCTGGTAGACAGGAGGATCTAGCAACCAGCAGAAAACATGCAGATTCCCAGTTCCTCATCCACCTGCCTTCAGATCCTGACACTAATCCACATTCCACCTGTTACTGTAGCTGCACTGCTGTGGCTCTACCCCAAGTAAGCTTTCCTCCTGCTCCCTTGATTTGTCCTTCAGAAAGGATCTCTCTAAATCTCTTCACTCTCTTTCAAATATCAGTTTCCACTTTCTTATTTCCTAGAGAACAAAAGCATTACTCTTCCCATCCTGACTTCTCTCTCTCTCTCTCTCTCTCTCTCTCTCTCTCTCTCTCTCTTTCTCTCTCTCTCCCTCACCCTGACCCGCTCCCTCTCTCTCATAAACAACTGTCTCAGACCTCATTTAGTTCTCCAATCCTGGATCTGCTTTCTG